GGGCTAATAAAAGACCATACTGTGTGAACAAGGTGCTTGGTTAAAAATATAATAATGAAAACAATTTTTAACCTAACATTCTCTAGAATGCCTAAAATTGTCCACACGTGTCTAATCTAGCTTTGCTGCCCAGTTGACTGTATACAGTATATATAAAGCTAAAATTCTTATTCTCTCTTTTTTTTAAGTAAATAAAATAATATTAATATTATATATTTACCAAAAAAAAAGAAATATAGTGTCTCACCTAGTTGTATTTGGGGGGGGGGGGGATTGAGATTCGAGCTCTTTGGTCCCGCATCTGAACTATTAATGAACTGGTGTATAGATTCCTGAGTCAATTGGTTTCTATCATATCTACATTTGAAACTGCGTAAGGAGTCTGCCTCTTCATCATCTTTACCTAATGTATTCCATCTGTTAGGTACGCTGACACTTTTCTTTCAACACTTCAGTTTTCCGAAGATTCACCAAACATTGGCCAACAACAAGATTCCTTTCCACCCTTAGATTTCAAGAAATCTTTTATCTGGTGAATTTTTTTCTTACAACTGAGTCAAGAAAAAAATAGTAATAACAACAACTCCCAACTTAAAATTATATTCTCTGGGATGCCTAAAATTTTCCACGCGTGTCTAATCAAGCTCTGCGGCCTGGGTGACTGTATACAGTATATATATATACTACACTCTTATTCTTTCTTTTTTTGCTTTAGTAAATAAAATAATATTACTGTTATTTAATACTTACTAAGAAAACAAAAACAAATTGAGATTATAGTTTCATATATACACACTGGTTAAATTTTTATTTTCGTCGAATGTGTGTGTGTGTGTGTGTACTCACCAGTTGTGCTTGGAGTGGAGGATTAAGCTTAGGTTCTTTGGTCCTGCCTCTTAACTGTCAATAAACTGGTGTGTAGATTCCTGAGCCCATTGGACTCTATCATATCTACATTTGAAACTGTGTAGGGAGTCTGCCTCCACTGCCCAATGCATTCCGTCTGTTAGGTACTTATCATTGTTATATTTTTTCTTGACTCAGTTGTAAGAGATAAATACCCCAGAAAAAAGATTTCATGAAATCTGAGGGTTGAAAGAAATCGTGTTGTTGGTTAATGTTTGGTGAATCTTTGTAAAACACTGCAATAGAAAATATATTTTCATTAAGATGAGACTTGGGGTAATAATGTACAATATAAAGAGAGCCGGGAGATTTTAGACTGGCCTCTTTATCATTAATATTGTTCGTTCTTTTTTTATTTACGTACTGATGAGGATCCCAATTACCCTGCAGAACATTACATTTAAGCTGAGAAGATGGTATCACTAATATGGGTTCTAAGAGTAAAAAGAGAATTGAGGACCAATGATAAGCTACAACTAAGCCACTGTCAGGAAGTCTAAAGATATTAATCATGTGGGGTGAATTAATAACAGGTTGTATTTTAGGTTTGAGCATTGTAGTTGCAATCCAACCTGGATTGGTAATCATTCAGAAAAGGCAGAGACCGAAGTTGGAATAACCCAGTTGCACGGTAAATCAGGGGTGAAAAATGAAAATGACACTATACCTTTCTTTTGCTTCTCGATATCATAACCTAAGAGCAAGAGACCAGGTAGTTGACATAGTAGACTTCTTCCTCCATCATAATCATTATTATTAATGAGTGATTTATATATCTGTCTGCAGTATTTGAGGAAATTAGTAACTGAAAAAAAAATCTTGGTGTCGTGTAGTGGGAGGTAATAATCATCCTTATTATTGTCCATGGTATTATTACACCAAGACCAACTTTCATAGGAAAAAGGCATGTTAGTAAAAGCACATTCTTTTAAATAATTTTCTTGTTTGACATTTAAACATTCCTTAAATTTTGAAGGATATATTTTTTGTAATAGTTTAGTGTAAAAACTGGGTCATTATCGAAGATCAAATAATGTTGCAGACCGACGAAAAAAAATAACGCAACCATAATTGTGGGTAATATAATTAAAAAAGGAAGGGATGACCATTTTAATTTGCTACTGCATTATGGAAATGTGTGGGAAAGAATTTACATAGACATAACAAAATGTTAATAGTCAAATTCGCTTTTATTTCACTGGTATCAGTTGTAAATTGAACTTTTAATTTAGACGACTGCTTATTTTTTCTTAGTAAACCTGCTTCCACATATGAATTTACATCATATAAATTTATTGGTTGTGGTTTATTATTATTATTATTATTATTATTTTCTATTATATATAAATTTGCATGTTTCACACTTGCCTCACTATACAATTTTTTAATTAAAATACTCACGCAAGCAGTAATATTTGTCATATCTTGATTAAAAGTTAAGGAATAGGATGATGGAGGAAAAATAGAAGTTTGTATTAGTTATATTTATTAAATCAGGTATAGTTTGCCCAGATATATACTGCATATTAATGGTTTTTAAATTTATATAATGAGAAAACAGCTTTTAATGAAACCAGGTTTTAGGCTATAAATCTCAAAAGGATAGAGTATCTTAGGCTAAAATCTAAAATTTACTGATATTACGTTCAACTTTTTATGTGGAAGATTTTTCATGTAATCTTAAAGTTGATTATATATTTACTTCCTCACATAATGTCAAAGTAAAAAAAATATATGTGTCGTCAACCCCTAGTAATTTTTCCTTAATTTTATATACAAATCGCTAGTTTTATATATATTTGTAATGTTTTATATACCACGGTATATAAAATCCCCGGACCTTTTATATCCCTGAGAAAAAAAAATTAAAATGACCATATGGGAGGGCCAAAAAATTAGCGGAGTAAACCTTATCTAATATTGGGAGATGTTTATAGATAACAACTATTTCATCAGATAAAGAATCCTCAGAAAGATTGAGTAGAAGGTATTGTTCATAACACGGGACATGATCACTGCTTTATAAAATTATCAGATGGATTGAAACCCATCCTACTTTCTGGAAAGAACTAAAAATGTCGCATTCTACCAGTCTAATAAACCACGACACCTCCTCCAAATGCCAATATTAAGAAGATTCACTGGTGAATTGATTGACTCTTATTAAATTGCTTGGAAATGTGTATATGTTACGGCCCTACTGGGACGCAACCGGGTTCTTCTCTGATGGTAGTAGAGTTTGGGAATCCGGCCCCAAGTTAGTAGAGGCTTTCAAGGGGTGTGTTCCATAATACAAGTAAAATTAAAGGGGGGGAGGAATACAAATATTCCAATTTTCTGATATATTTTCCACCACCATATATATAAATAAATAACAGTCACACGCAGGGATTATTACTACACAAAAATATATACAGTTGCGTCTTCCTCCGAGGACACTGGATGCTCAACGGTGTTCACTCTAGGGTAGCCCTGGTTCCTTCTTCCGTGGCCCACGATGAATCCACGCTGACTACCCCGAATCTACCCTGGCCACAGGCCAGCCAAATCACAATCCCACTGGGTGCTTCGTCGTGGAGGCCTTCTACCACAATCCAGCCTGTAGCTGGCAGGTACCGATCAGCTCCGCTGTATAGGCCACTCCACGACCGATACTTAGGGTTGCGAGCCCTAGCCAGGAACCTCGTGTGACTCGCTGGTCACTCTCCACATACAGCACCCCAGTGGATGGTCTCTTCCACCAGCGAACCCCGGATAAGGCGATTCCCGACACTGCCACGCCTCAGGCAGGCTATTACTCTCAACAGAGTTCGTCCAGGGGTGACTCACAGCTTCTTCAAAGCAGACTGATGAAGAGACCTTGGTTGCCTTGGATAGACTGATCCATCGTCCAACACAGCAGTCCCAGGTCGACTCTGCAAGCAGACACGTCATCAGTACTGGGGATACTACCTGGGGCCACTAGGAAACATCACTTACTAGCTTAGACAGAAACGTCCACCTCTTCGCTCCATAGATGGCGTTCACTGTCCAAGCGCCACCTCACCAGAGGTCAGCAGCGGCTACATCACGAGCTGACTAGGACAGGAATCCAACACTTATTGCTGGCCTATCCTGTCACCACTAGATGGCGTCGTCCATTTGGAGTTGGTTTCGGGAGCGGACTCACAGATGGCGTTGTCGTCACTGCTCCATGCTCCGACGCTGGACTCGGGTCCGTAACAGTATATCTTCCACGTTGACATCCATTTGTGGAAATCCACTTACACAATTGATTCCATCGTTCATGAAACTCCTGTAACAAATTTCACATATTGTAAGAGAAGGGGGATAATATGAAGATTATATCATATCAGTTACTTTTAAAATAAACTACATGTGTATAACTTAACTTTGCGGCTTGGTAAAACTAAACTCTCTGTTTCTTTTTATTTTAGTAAGTATATAATAATACTATTATTAATTATTACTATTATTATGTTTTATTATTATTATTATTACTATTATATACCTCTTAAAAAAATTGAGAGTCCAGTTATGTATATACTAGTTGAATCTTCATTTTCATTCAAGGTAAATTACACATGTATAATCTAATTATGCGGTCTGGTTGAGTGTATATTTTAAACTAAACACTATTCTATTTTTATAATTATATTTATATTAATAATATAATTATTATATACTTACTAAAAAATGATAGAATTTGGTTTTATCTTATTAAATGTTTATAGTGTGTATACATAGGAAAGGTGACTTAGCAGGGTGTAGGTGGCATCAGCGTCATCAGAGATATAACTACTGATGACCTATAGGGTCAAGATTATGTATAAAAAGTCCAGGAACGTTTTGTTCCTTGAAGCTGAATCCAGTTTTTATTTTTTTGGTGGGGGTTCTCCTACTGTTTGTGATTCTCCTCCTCCTCCTCCTCCTACTGTTTATGGTTCTCCTCCTCCTCGAATTGTTTGTGATTCTCCTCCTCCTCCAACTGTTTGTGGTTCTCCTTCTCCTCCTCCTCCTTCTACTGTTTGTGAAGTTTTTACCTTTTTGGTCGGGGGTTCACCTCTTTCTTCTCCTCCTTGTCCTCCTACTGCTTAGGGTTCTCCTCCTGCAATTTCTAATTCTCCTCCTACTCCTTTACCTGCATCTTGTAATGCTCTTCCTCCTCCTTCTCCAGTGTCTTGTAATTCTACTCCTTCTGCATCTTGTAATTCTTCTTCTCCTCCTCCTTCTCCATAGTCTTGTAATTCTTCTGCTCCTCCTTCCCCTGCGTCTTGTAACTCTACTCCTTCTCCTGCGTTGTGTAATTCCCCTCCAACTCCTCCTGCGTCTTGTAATTCTTCTCCAACTCCTTCTCCTGCATCTTGTAATTCTCCTCCTCCTCCTTTTCCTACATCTTGAAATTCTTCTCCCACTCCTCCTATGTTTTGTAATTCTTCTCCGACTCCTCCTGCGTTTTGTAATTCTCCTCCTCCATGTGATTCTTTTGTTTGTTCTTCTTTCTCGACTTCCACATTAATGTTAAATTTAATGCTAGCAAATGTGTCTGAGGAATTAATATTCTTAGCCAACATTTTACATTCCACCTCATTATTACTGTCTTGGAGTTCAAGTTTCATAACCACAAATGGGGGTAGTGAATTTTCTTTCATTGGGAAATTATCCATAAAAAATCCACAATGAAATATATCTTGACTTGCAGCATGGGTACATGATATTACCAATTGGTTCATGTAAAATCGTTTTCCTTCATTTTATAATTTTATACGTGATGCTTCTAAATTGTTCTTTAATTTGAAGTCTTCAATTTCATTTAGATCTGTATAAATATCAGGTATGAAATTTTGGAAATTCCATGGAAATATTAATATAATTGGATTTTTTGTATAATATCTCCTATCAATATTAGAATTTTTACATAGTTTTATGTACGTAATATGCAGGATAATCATTGACGTATTTGTGGATTTTATCATAATAACTAAGGAATTTATTAAAAGGTTGAATTAGTGTCTTGTCAGCTTCGGCAGTATTTTTAGGATTATACGAAATTGGTGGTTTGGGAACAATAAAGAGACCTTTATAAATTTTTATATCTTCGATAACTGGCGAGAATAATGATTCTACAAGTTTGGATTTCATTTTGGATTTTTGAAGTCTAGACGAATATGTTTGACAAACGAATTCTTTTGTTTCTTGGGCATATTCTTATGTTTCCTAAGGTAGTTCAGAGAAATCTGCTTGACAGATGGAGGATTGGAATATTTCTTGATGTAATTCATGAGATAGTTCGACGGATTCCATTTGACTGATGACGTGAGGAACGTCAGAGGACTCATTTTCACTTGTTTGTAATTCTCCTCCTTCATCTCCGACGTTTTGTAATTCTCCTCATACCCTTTCTCCTGCATCTGGTAATTCTCCTCTGTCTTGTAATTGTCCTCCTACCCCATCTCCAGTATCTTGTAATTGTCCTCCTACTCCTGCTGCGTCTTGTAATTCTCATCTTACTCCTTCTCCTGCGTCTTGTAATTCTCCTCCTACTCCTTCTCCTGCATCTTGTAATTGTCGTCCTCTGTGTGATTCTCGTGCTGTTTCTTCTTCCCTGATTTCCACATTAATGTTAAATTTAATGCTTGCAAATGTGTCTGAGGAATTATTTTTCTTAGCCAACATTTTACATTCCACCTCATTATTACCGTCTTGGAGTTCAAGTTTCATAATAACAAATGGGGGCAAGGAATTCTCTTTAATCAGAAACTGATTCATATAAAATCCCTGAAGATGTATATGATAACTTGTTGCATGGGTACATGAAATCCATAACTTGTTCATGTCAAATATTTTTCCTTGTTTATATAATTTTATAAAATTGTTGTTTAATTTGTTGTCTTGTATTTCACTTAGATCTGTATAAATGTCAGGTGTAAAATCAGAAATATTCCACGGAAATATTAAAATAATTGGATTTTTTGTATAATATCCCATATCAGAATTAAAAATTGTCCTAACTTTATTTATGTAAAATGAATCTTTTTTATGAAAATATTTGTGGGCTTCATTATAATTCGAAAGAAAGTCATTAGAGGGTTGTATTAATGTCTTGTCAGTTTCGGTGATATTTTTAGGATTATACGAAAATGGTGGTTTGGGAGTAATGAAGAGACCTTTATAAGTATTTTTATCTTCAATAAATGGGGTGAATAGTAATTTTAAAATGGATTGCTTGATGACGGATTGTAATGTTTGCTGGATTATGCATTGTAGTACCTCTTGAGGTACTTTAGAGGACTCTGTTTGACTGATGACTAACTGGAATGTTTGATCGATGATGGATTGTGATATTTCTTGTGGTACTACAAGTTCTTCATAGAGCTCTGCTTCATTGATGAGTGATTGACTGATGATGGATTGTAATGTCCCTCGAGAGAATTCAGAGAAACCTGTTTGATTGATGGGGGAATGAAATGTTTCTTGCGGTATTTCTGAAGAATCTGTTTGTAATGTTTCAAGAGGTACTTCAGAGGAAACTGTTTTTTCTTCTTCCTCGACCTCCACATTAATGTTAAATTTAATGCTAGTAAATGTATCTAATGAATTAACGTTCTTAGCCTCTATTTTGCATTCTACCTCATTATTACCTTCTTGAATTTCAAGTTTCATTACCACAAATGGCGGTAATGAATTGGATTCATCTTTCGTTGGCAAATCATATTTGTAAAATCCTTGAACAAATATATCCTGACTGGCCGCATGGGAACATGATATCCACAGTCTGTTCCATTAAATTGGCTACGTTCCACTTTGTGATTTTGTACGTACTGCTTCTATATGGTTCTTTAATTGGACATCTTCTATTTCATTTGAATCAGTATAAACATCAGGTAGTTGTTAAGAGACAGAAAAGATTATTGAAAATATCGAGAAGAATAACTATTTATGAGAATATTGAGGATGATACTGGTGGTATCATCCTCAATATGGGGTGGTGATGTTGGTAGCGATGGTAGTGGGTCAGAACGAATGGAAACGGGAATATACACCAACTGATCAAAGGGAAATCACCAGTTCCCTGCACGAGAACGACCAAGAGAACCAAACCCCAAGCGCATATGGTCTGATGTGACTCAGCGATACTTAGACAAGTTTTTTATGACTATGTCGACTTTGAAGGGAGGTCAAATAATAGAATCAAAGACAAATAAAAACAAGAGAAGTAAACAATTAAGAGTTAATCAGAAGCAAATTCCTTCAATATTATTATTATTCTTAACCCACCAGAATAAAAATCAAAAGTTTGGCTCCAAAAAGTTATAACCTATTTTTTATTAAACACTTTTTTTTCTTTTTTTTATTAATTTTTACAGTATACTATATTTTCGGTAATATATACCATGTCTTTTTCAAGAACAGTTTGAGGGTTACGAAGATATGAAATAAAATCAATGAATTGAGCAGCATTTTCCTGGTTAACCAATTTTTCAAATTTCGAAGGTGTGGTAACATCACTGAAACCTAATATTTGATGAGCTCGGTATGGTGACTGACTTATTAATTGACGCATTTGTGATGCTGTCAGATATACTCGACCAATAAATATACGATTGAGTTGTAAATCTTCAGACCTAATCCACATCGTATGCACGCGATGAGTCACAATAACGTGGCTGAATTATGTTGACCAGACCACACACTAGAAGTTGAAGGGACGACGACGTTTCGGTCCGTCCTGGACCATTCTCAAGTCCCTGACTTGAGAATGGTCCAGGACGGACCGAAACGTCGTCGTCCCTTCAACTTCTAGTGTGTGGTCTGGTCAACTCCACATCGTATAATCCAAATTAGGGGTTACCATATTACCTAGGGCAAAACTAGCCGAAGCCTGACCAATATCACCTAGTTTCTGCTGAAATTCGTGATAATATCTATTAATACTTGTATCACCCATAAGGTAGTGTCCTAATATATATTGAGGGGAACATGATAAGCACTGTTTAATATATTTTTCAATAATAGCAATATTACTACCTAATTTAGATTTGAATTCTTTTATATATATATATGATAAACTTATACAATATGAATCATATACCAGCAGAAACTCATGCAGGTCCTTGTTTCCAGTTCCATAATTTTTTGGATTGTACAAGTCTAGGAAATGTGTATTGACATTTTGCCGTTTCTGTTCCTCGAGTAATTTTAAAATATCCGTAGTAGTAGCTATCCATCAGATTTATTATTATTATTATTATTGAAAAATATTAAAATTTTACCTCCGTCTCCACTGCTGGTGTCATCTACGTCTCTCGTTCGACATTGGGGGACCTCCAAAATTTATAAGAATTTCACAACAAGATGAAGATATTTTCTGTTTCCAAGAAAATGAGTTGAACATGAAAGAATGTATTTATAAATACAATAAAATTTAAAGTAGCTAAAAATAATTAAAAAAAGTAACAATGCATAATAATACATTTGACACTAACAAGTTAAAAAAAAAAGAAAAACAAGAGGAAGAAGAAGAAGAAACAGAAAGTCTTGAGTCGATGGCCTATTTCTCCTAAAAAGGAGGAATCTACAGCACCGGTGATAATGAAAAATCTTATATTAATTGTAGAAATAACAAACTACTGCAACAACAGAAGCTGAAACAACAACAACAACAACAACTAGAGACAGAAATAATGAACAAAATCAATACGGCAGAAAGCAGCGACAACGTATATCATGTCAAAACAGTAGCTGGACTCTTACCCTCCAGTGACGCATATCGTGTAAACACAGATGGTCATATGGAAAACGAAAAAAACAACCTTAATAAAGATGTTTATATTGATGATTATGATTTAGAGGAAAGAACACGCTTAGCTAGAGTAAAAAGACGTTTACAGTATATTGAAGAGTGTCTAGGTAAAAGTAACATTATCAAAGCTGAGCCAATCACAGCTCTAATATATTCCCATATAAGTGCCCAATTTATTATAAATAAAGTTTATCATAACTGGATTAGGTTTATGGGACATGTGGCTCAGCAACTTACATCTAGAACCATTGAAAATTTATTTGGAGTTGCTGATCAATTTTTGTTTTATTTTTGGTTTGAAAATAAAAAAAAATCAAGATCACCCCCAGTAAATTATCTCTTTGTCGCTTTTGAGGAGAGTAGAATGGAAGTAAATACTGAAATTTTGAATTTGGCATTAGAGAGTAATCGATATCAAAGTGGAAAACTCCTCCATCCTCAAGATTGTGAGTATATTAATCTTTACTTTGAACATATTTCTAATAATGTGTATATTGTTTATTCATTAAATGAATTACAAAGCATTTATAAAACAATTATAGGTGATGACAAAAATTCATTAAACAAGAATAATGACCGGTCTCTGGTAAGTGGCTTAAATGCCTACGTTTGGTTATGCCTGGAGCAGATAAGCGATATAAAGTGTTAGGTTCATATCGTATATTATATAACACATTTGTAAATGTGTCTAATGGAGAAATGTTCAACACTAGTCTACAAGGAATGAGAATGTCAGCTCTTAATATCTGTGTTATTATCGTCCATGCTATGATTCATTTAAAATGCTTACTCAAGAAAAATATACTGCCCACCGAGAAAATGCGACACTCTAACAAACATTTAATTGAG